AAAGGCATTAAAGCCATTTAAGTTTCTTTTCTTTAAGAATAAAGTACTGTTGACAGAAAGTTTTATGAATGCTGGGAAAATTATTGTTGGAACCAACTCAAAAGATGATCAGCTGCGAAGCAGAAAGTATGAAAGGCAAAAATAAAGAACAACACCCTAGAGACTAAAAATTGATTGGGAATTCATCTGCAAAACACACAAGTGACAACTGGAATCCAAAGATCTTGAATCTATGGACAGCTGGAGGAACCACCAGAATAAGACACATGTGTAAGCAGCTTCCCTACTACTTTAGAGGGAAAAGGGTTTTGACAGATTGCAGTGGGCTTGGCTTACTTTGGATAAAGAACTGCAAGCTCTGGATACACTGGCACAGGAACCCTCCAGCAGCTGGGACCCCATCACTGAATCTCCACTTGTCTTTAGAGTCCAGTGTTGGGTGGTAAGTGGATGAGAGAAGACAGCATGGCTCCAGCAGCCACTGCCTCTCCTTTCATCAGCCTTGTAAGCTCTGCTCTTTCTTTCAGTCCCCATGCCTGTTCCATCTGTCTTCTCCTGAACATGTCTCCGCTTCCCTTCCCTGGAACTCTCAGACAATGTGCTTTGAGGACTGATTTCCTTTCCAACTCCTTATGGAGGCCCCGTACTTCTGGCAGTGGTATATAGACCCCTCTTTTCATCACTCAATAGCCCACTGTTCATAAGCAAGCAGTTAAGAGTATCCCTCTGCAGCCTCTCTGAATCCAGCATGGGTCTCTCATGAATCCAGTTGCCTTTGTCTCCTCGGATACCAAAACCACTATGCCCACTCAACTCTTTTCTGCTCCTGGCAGATTTGGAACAGAAAACATTTAGGGCTTTTGGTTTGGGAATTTGTGTTGAGGGGGAATGTCCTCAGATCAGTGTGCTGGATTCCCAGTGGGTAGCAGAGGCCATGCATGATGTCATCGCAGTGTAGCTGTCGCAGGAGTAAAAAAGGAAGTCTCCCTCCTTCCAGGGCTAATGAGTTGTTAGATTGGCTCAATCAAGCTCAGGACACCTCAACCTGAGCTAAGTTTCCTCAGGCCCTGGTCTCCATGACCCTGTTGCTGGAGAGAAAAGAACAGCAGATTCCCTGCTCTGATAGGTTTGTTACAAGGATTACTGAAATTCTTTTTGAGGTTGCCTGCAGCTGCTAAGCAGAGATAGCCAGGAATAGCATATGCCTGTGTCCCCTAAGAGCATCACAGTTTAGTGAATGTTGGTATTAAGTGGAGCATTGTATGTTAAATGGTACTCACATACTCGGAATATTTTTCTGTCTTATACCTACTTCAAACCAAAGCATATCTTCTCATATCCACATCCAAGCTCTGTGAATAAACAATATTTCTCTTAGCCATATTTGCTGCAATGTGATTTGGTTTTGTTCGGTGAATTTACATTTAAGAATGACTTTTCTGATTAATCAGTCCTTTGCATACTTTATATACGGAAAACTAAAAATACACTAAAATAGTATATGTGAATAAAAACCACATTAAAATTCATAAACTGCTACCATTCAATTTACTTCTCTTTACTATATCATCAGCTAATCAAACATAGCAGTATTCATGGAGGATATCTTCCTCAGTTTTTCTTTCTAGGCCTCAGAGATGTAGGTTTTCCCTCTGCAGAACAGGGTTTCCAAAGAAAAATACTATAAACCAGAGGATAGTTGCAGACTCAGGAGAGAGGAGAAAATAATGCAAATTTCCCTACCCCCAACATCCACATAGACCTTGAAATTACCATTTCATATGCACCAAAGAAAGTCTGTATGTGATGCATTATATTACGCACACCTCCACATTCATTTCAAAGCTGCTGGTGTTTAAGAGAAGGTGACTGCCTAAGCAGAAATCTTCCCAGAATTCAATTTGTCTTCTGTATCTATCTTAAAAATTATAGCTCTAAAGTACAAAACCCTTAATCTCCAAAGATTTGGGAAAAACCTTCACGTTCTGAGCTACATTGTCAGATTGTCCATTTGCATTTTCAATATGAATATAACTATCTCAATTCTGCAGAAAACCTACCGAAAAAAAGAGTACTGACCTTAAGAAATTATAACTTTTCTCTGCCACCTTCAACATTTTAATAAGTGTTGTTGCAGCCTTTATCTAAATCAGGGCACTGTTACTATATCATGGAATATTTTGAAACTGGACATTTGCATGTATATATAAGAAAGAATCCAATTTCAAGACAAAATACTCTTCAAACTGCTTCAAAATAAAGTATTTAAATAGGATCTCTGGCCCCTCTATCTCTTATATCTGAGATCTCCCCTCTCTTCAAGGATCAAGAGTACGGACAACAGCCTAGACAGGAAAATTAAAGATGGAATGTTACAAGCCTTAAGTAATTCCCCAAAAGCCAGCCATTTTAAGTTAAAAAAAAAAAGAAGCAGAAAAAAAACCAACCACCCCTCTCCCCAAACACAAAAACAAAACTACAAACCAACAAACCTTCATATGTAAACTAAGACCTGATATAAATCAAGGGATAGCATTGGTTCGAATTCCAGTGTATTCTCCCTACAGCAGCATGTGGCCTAAATAGTCAAATGACTGTTATTAAAAAGATGCTAAAAGCATAGCACACATATTTAACTTGTTAGGCATTATTGGCTGTTGTTACAGTTGGGATTTAAGGGTTATTCACAGATTCATTGTGGTCCATGGCAACTCATTTCCTCTCAATAACATAGTAGGTTATTCACACAGTTATTCAATTTCTGTTCCAAAGCTGTGGAACACCAGTCCCATATAACACCTTCAACACAAAGTTACTGAGAAATTTAGGGTAGGAAACACTTGTTAACATAAGTCTGTTGATTAAATTATTAACACAGACAAAAAGTCTCTGATGGGACCTGTATAGATTCATGCATTTATAACATGGTAGATGAAGTAGGGCTTCATCTACAACAAAACAGAAAGTCAGTGTGTGATGATTTCTTTTGTATAGTTGAGCTGACTGTTTCATTAAACCTCTGGGCATATTCATCAAGCCAACCTGGCTATTAAGCATCAACTTCCTGCCCTTGGATCTCCTCTGGAAGCTAAAAAATATTCCCATATGAATATGAATCTCAATTGCATCTCTGATTTACTGTTTCCAAGCTCAGTGAGAATAATCACTTAACATTTGCCAGCACTGATCTCTTAATGGCATACTGGAAGTCAAAGCTCAGAGTGTCTTTCTGCAGTCTCATATTCAATAGAGTGAATCCCATTAAGCTGAACACAAAACCTACAACTAACTGAAAGAACAAGTAGAAAGTGTAGCTAATTACACAAGAAGAAAGCAAGCCAGATACATTATTATTAAGAGATTCTGAACACTTTAAATTAAACTTCAGAATGCTTATAAGCAATGTTGTATTGCTTTTAGCCTAAGACCAAAAAGGCATGTAAAGGGAAGACTTTAAGGACATGACAGTAGGCAAGAAGTATAGAAACAGTTTGACATTGAATAGCTAGAACAGAGCACAGCCTATAAGTCTGGACCAGTTCAGATAACCACAGAGAACAAAATTAAGCTATAGGTTACATCTAGACTGTCCAGAGAGAAATTATCACCTGCTTTCCTTCTGAATATTCATGTAGTTTTACATTGTTTATTAGTTTATAAAAGAAGTGTTTGAGACAGTATTACTCTTTTCATGCTAAACATGCCTATAACACTAAAGTTATTGGTCCTTCACAACTTCATACATGGCACTTGAGTAACCTTGGGCCACTCAGTACTTTTTCTTAAGAATAATACTAATTTCCAATAGATGGATTCTTCTCTTTCAATTAAGTTTTAAAAAATTAGTGTATATCTATTTCTTGTATACAATACATTATTAGATTGTACTGTACAATATTTTATTTGCTGCAGTACGAACATAATCTTTCCAGGAAAGTTTTTCAAAATAGTCTTTTGCTATAACTTTAGTTTCCTGTGGACCTATAATTAATCTCTACAGGATCCTAGGTCATGTCCAGGAGCAAATAAAGGATTAGGAATTTCATTTAGCAAATTTTGTTTGCACACTAGCACTAGAAATAATATATTTGGGAAAAGATTATTTTGTTGGATAGTTTTAGCCATAAAACCTAATGAACTGAGTTGCACAGAAGTGCTTTTGTTCTCCCACAGGAAGCAGAAATGCCATCTGTGCCACAAGACAGCTTTCTGCAAGCGACTGCTTTGCTTATCACACATTCTTTACTGGTTTAGTGGTGGATTTGGCAGTGCTGGATTAACAGTTGGACTTCATGATCTTAAAGGTCTTTTCCAACCTAAACGGTTCTATGATTTTGCAGCTTAGCTGTTCTGGACCAGTTTTGCTGTGCTGAGACAATAGCATCTCTACATTTTTCATTATTTTCTTTTTTTATTCCTGAAGCTCAACATATGGGCAAAAGCACCTCCCAGTTGGACTGTGGAAAATTATATGCACAAGAAATACGAAACTGAGCTTAAAGAAAAACATAATGTGCGAGCCTGGTGGGAAGATGCATTACAACAGAATTTCCGAATGACCACTTTTTCACTTAATTTTTAATTTCTATTTTCATACCGTTTGGCACATTTCACACCATATTCCTGAACTATGAATTTGGGGAAAATAAAATGCTTCTTATCGCACCACTTTTAGCCATAAAAGATAATGAACTGCACTGTATGGAAATATTTCCAACTCGGGATATTCCGTGATTGGATTACTTGTTTTCCCACACAAGGACTTCATTTTAGGTCTTTGCTGAGTCTCCTATGTCTGAGAGCCTGCAGCTCCTCACAGGTTCACTCTCACGACTACATCGGGCGCCTCAGCACCTCACCACTTCCACAACTCCCCTGTCGCCTCACACCCCCCGGCGCTCCCTAATGGGATGTTCCACTCGGGGCGGGCAGGGGGCGGGCAGGTGGCGGGCGCCCGAAGCCAAGGCAACGGGTGGGACGTTCCACCGCAGGAACTCAGGGGGCGCGGCTTCCGGGCGCCCACTTCGAAACGGCAGAGCGTCGCCGGCCCCGCCATGACGCAGTCGGTGGTGGTGCAGGGTAGGGAGTCTTGGTTCCCAGAGCCCCCCGCCGCTGCACCGTCCCTGTGCCTGAGCCATGTCTCTCCCCTTTACAGTGGGACAGTGCGGGAACCAGGTGGGCTGCCGGTTCTGGGACCTGGCGCTGCGGGAACACGCCACCGTCAACAAGGTAAGGGCGCCGCTGCCGCCGCGGCTCCGGCCGCCGCTGGCCTGGGGCGAGCGCTCTCGCCGTGGGGAGGCAGCGGTGCCCCTGCGCTCCCTTCTGCCTTCGTCGCTGTGACTGCAAAGCTCTGTGTTTGTTTGATTAAACTAAGGCCGCTTCACTGTGAACAAAACTACCCCCAGGTTCTTGTGCCTTTTAACTAGTCATAAGTTTAACTATCAAGAGACCTTGATAAGTCAGAGGGCTGGGCAATCACCAACCGTATAAAGTTTCAACAAGGGAAAGTGTTGGATTCTGCACGTGGGATGGGACAAGCCCGGATGTACGTACAGACTGAGGAATGAGAGGCTAGAAAGCAGTGCCACGGACAGGGACCTGGGGGTCCTGGTGGATGGCAAGTTGAATATGAGTCAGCAGTGCCCTGGTAGCCAGGAGGGCCAACCATGTCCTGGGGGGCATCAGGCAAAGCTCACTAGCTGGTCGAGGGACGTGATTGTCCTGCTCTGCTCTGCACTGGGGCAGCCTCACCTTCAATATTGTGTGTAGTTTTGAGCACCGCAACATAAAAAAGACAGTAGGCTATTAGAGAGCGTCCAAAGGAGAGCCACGAGATGGTGAAGGGTCTGCAACGGAAGCCATATAAGGAGTGACTGAGGTCATTTGGTCTGTTCAGCCTGGAGAAGAGGAGAATGAGGGGAGACCTCATTGCAGTCTACAACTTCCTCATGAGGCGAAAAGACAGAGCAAGCACTGAACTCTTCTCTCTGGTAACCAATGATAGGACCCATGGGAATGTCCTGAAGTTGTGTCAGGAGAAGTTTAGGTTGGCTATTAGAAAAAGGTTTTTCACCCAGAGGGTGGTTGGGCACTGGAACAGGCTCCCCAGAGAAGTGGTCATAGCATCAAGCCCGACAGAGTTCAAGAAGCATTTGTATGATCCTGTCAGGCATATGGTGAGACTCTTGAAGCGGTCCTGTGTAGAGCTGAGTTGGACTCGATGATCCTTGCAGGCTTCTTCCAGCTCAGAATATTCTGTGATCCCTAATTCCAGTCAGGTTTCTCCAGCCTTTCCACCTTGAAAAGCCCAGGATGTCTCCCTACAGCCGGCATTACCAGATTTGAGGCAGTAAGTGACAAGAGAGGACTGTTTAGTGCAAGTTCTTTGCCACTGGCAGTAAAGCAGAAGGGCAGCCCCCCAAATTCCCCATTTTAGCTCGTGCCGTAAACTTGCCATACAGCTGTGCTAAAGAAAATAGCACTGTGAAGAGGGCATAGGATTGTGCTGAGTACCTTGAACAAAATCACGCTTTCCTTGCTGTTACTATAAAGATACTGTTTCCTAGTTAACACAATATATTAATGGATAATGATGAGGAGTGTTCAATGCCTTCTCTAGAAGCAGCTGTAAAACCGCAATGGGTGAAGTTCGTATTGTGTGTGGAGAGTCTTTTGGTTGTAGTGTAGTACGTAACAGTGTCTTCCAAATTCTCCCTCACCAGGTCTTGAGTATGGTAAGCAATCTGTAAATAATAATGTTAAAGTATTTTAACTTGCCAGGTCTCTTTAGCTTTATGGCGGGGTAAGTAATTTGCATGCTGCCTCTCAGCAGGGATTTTTGGAATCACTGATGAAGTGTAATGTGCTTTCCTTTTCACAGAACTTCATGGGCATTGAGCCCATGATGAACTGAGTGTTGTGTAAGTGATGAACTGAGTCAGCTAAACAGCAGCTATTCAATTTTAATAATTGCCTTGGGATCTTCAGTAAGCTACTACAGTTGTCTAATCTTGTGCTGAAAAATTAATTTTCTAGTTATGTCCTCCTGTCAGTTTTTAACAACAACCTGATTTTTCAGTGAAATGTTCTGTTTAGAGCTGACTAGAGTTAGCTGGATTCAACATAGATGTTTACTCTGTTTTGAGTGGTAAGGTTTGACAAGCGACCTTCAGAGGTCCCTTCCAACTTAAATTATTTTATGAAAAAGCACTGAGAATTTTTGACGTTGCACATCATTTTGTGTTGTTTCCTTTTAGAAAGGAATTTATGATGAAGCCTTAAGCAGCTTCTTTAGGAACGTAGATACAAGGTAAGTTGTCTTATCAAAAAGCTCATGAGTTTAACACAGTGGATCCACACTTCAAATGTCTTCTCTTAACCTAAGTTATAATTTTCTTTGTTTCAAGTCATACTTAGTTTGTGCTAGGAAAAGATTTTGCTTTTTTTGTATTCTTCTCAAAACCCTATCTTTACATTTCCTTTTTAAGTATACTTGCTTCAGTAGTTAAAGATGTTGAAAATTTGGGTTAACCAATGTCTTAAGAGCATTCAGTCATCTCTTATCCATCCAGTTAGAAAAATCCTTGCAATTTGCAAGAATAAAATGTGCACTTGAATATTGCTGTTGTCTTTAAATTAATTAAAAAGGATTTGACCAACCTCTTTTTTCTTCCATCATATGACAAGGTCATAGTACAGCATGTGATTTTAATTAAAATGGCATTGAAATACAAGTTGTTTTATCTCAAGTTTTACTTCTTTGAAAGAACAATGCAAATGCATTGGAGTTTATGATTGCCACTCCTTGTGGGTATTTCCTGGAATAACTTTTTTTTTAACCAAGAAAATTTGAGTATAAAAAATGCCCATGTTTCTGTACGAGCCTGATGAAACCATCAAATTTTTAATTGGGGGGTCAACTGCAATAGAAAAAATCTGTTTTCTTTCTGAGCAGCCTGGTCTAGTGGAAGGTGACCCTGCCCATGGCAGAGGGGTTAGAACTAGATGGTCTTTAAGGTCCTTTCCAACCAAAACCATTCTGTGGTTCTAGGAACGTGGAGATTTTTTTTAGCAATTGAATCCAAGTGATTGAAGGAATGGTCTCTCATGAAAGATCACAAAGACAACAGGAAGAAAAAGAAGTGTTGTTTTGGGGTTGGGTTTTTTCCTCTTTGAGTTTTGTTAGTCCCTGAAGAGAAATAGAACTTCTCTAGGTGTATTTAGTGCTGCTATAGCAGACTCATATAGGTGTTGTGTAGGCTAGAGGAATCACATGAGTACTGGAGGCTGCTGTGAGCTGTTCAGCTAATGAGAAGTGTCTGGAGTGCTTCTTTGAGTGAGAAGATGGAAAATCCTGGAGGAATTCAGCACAGCCCCATACTCTTTTCCCCTCATTTCTGATGGGACTGAGTAGGGTCAGAACACTGGCACTGTAGCAAATTTTAGCTGATATTTTGGGAGTATTATTGTGGTGGAATGTAGAATGGTCTAAGACATACTTTAGGCTTGGCCAGCTCCCAAATTAGGTAAATAACTGAGGGGAAAATTAGATCCATCTCCCCGTATCCCTGCCTTTTTTCCCCTGTGTTCAGTATAGTTTGTCCAGACTGGAGTATCTCATTCTTTGAGTGCAGAAGCACCAGCATTAGTTGTTGAAAAAATATGATTGTAGCACAATGCGTAGTCTCCTATGTTGGCTCAGTACAACCAATCCTGGGAAAGAAGTAGCTATGTCATCCCAGCATGATTTCTGAACTGGTAAGTCTTAATAGCAAAGTAAGTCAAAAAGTAAGTGCTGTGCTAGTGCAGTAACACGGGTTTCACACCTGAGCAGAAGCACAGTGTTGTAACGACCCCCACTGAAAACCTTGTGGGGCAACTTGGTGCACTGTGTTCAATTATGTGATGCAGATACACATATTACATGCTGATAAAAGATAATCCTTTCCAGTTTTGGCAAACTGTAGAATTCCTGCAGAGGCTGTATCTGAGAGTAAACATTCAATGCTTCTCTTTTCAGCTTCCTGAAGTAATGCTTAGGCTATTTCTGACTGAGATTGTGTCCTGTAATTGCATTACTTCCGGGAATTGTGAGTTCTTTCTTAGCAGTATGTTCAGGGTGTTTCTGTTTGTTTGCATTGTCATACTCCTCTGAACACAAAATATTAAAGAGAAAATTTTATTATGTTATGTATTTTCTGTTATGAATCTGAGCTTAGATTTTTCTGTTACTGTTTTTTTTCAGAAGTGGTGGTGACGGTCCTGGTATTTACAAAGGAAAAATCTGCTCTTTAAAAGCACGAGTAAGGCAATCTATAAAGGTCATTCTTTTTACATTGCATATTTACATCCAACTGTGGGAATTTTCATGAAGTCCTTAAAATTGCATACAGGTTTAAATACTGCTTTGAATACTGCTTTGAATTAGAATTTCTAATAGTAACTTTCATGATTCATTCAAGTAATACAGTTTCTGCCAGTCTTGTTGTGTAATTTAAATTGTAATTCCAATAAAATTATTGCAGATATTAGTAACTAAGTATTTATTTGAATTCTCTTAGTGGGTTTCCTTAGGCCACTTTAAATGATTTAAGACGCAAGAAAACTTACTGTAAGGTCTTCATTTCTAACTATCAGGGCAAAATATTATAAAATTTTAACAAAATTTCATTATCTGAAATGCTGTCCTATTGAACAACTTCTGGCAAATCAGCTAAGGTTAATCTAGTTGGTCTCCTAGTTAACAACTGGGAAAAAAAAGGTTTCTCTGGAGCAGAGTAGAAACAGTATACCTTTTATATTGTAAATAATTTTATATTTCTTAGTGGGTTATTTCAAGGGTGGTTTGCTTACTGACTGAATTTTAATTCTTTCTCTTCTCAAAGGCACTGTTGATTGACATGGAGGAGGGTGTGGTAAATGAAATTCTGCAGGGACCATTGAGGGATATGTTTGATAGCAAGCAGCTTATCACAGATGTTTCTGGTTCAGGAAACAACTGGTGAGAACCTCTTCAGAACACATTTCTTAGCAACTAATTAGATGGCATTTGAAAAGGGAAATGATAACCGTAGCTTTCTGTTTCGTTCTGCACCTGGGCAGCTGCAGCATTTTACCAGCAAACTTGGAGTCACTGTTGCCTGGAGGAGGGCTTTGAAAAGGCTTTTACAGAAGGATAATTTTGCTGATACACCATTTTGTCTATTTTTTTTCTTCCTCTTTTTTGATTTTCGTTTCAAAAGAACATGCTTTTTATTTTTGTTTCTTTGGTATTCAGCTGCTTCCATTGCTCAGTCTAAGCCATAATCTAGTTTGAGACTGTGCAACTACTGTGGAAATGAGATATATGAACAAACACATTTCTGATTTCTAAGCACCACAGAGTCTGGCTTTGTGCGTCTAAACTACATTCCCAAAAAGAGAAATTCAGAAAAAGATTGATTAACATAACGAATTGCAAATTTTCATGGAGATCCTAATGTGCCTCTAATAATATTCAGTGCATTACAGACTGGAAAGCAAATCATCAGCAAATGTGCCAAAAGAGAGGGCAATACAGGGAATAAAACATCCTGTAACTTCACCATCTAGTAGGCATGTGTATGGAAAATGAGCTGTTTGGGTTTTTTTTTAATTACTGGTATCATTTGACTTGCACAGTACTCAAAGGAAGATCAGTACACATTTTGCATAGGGGTATCCTTATTGTTAAGGAGTATATAATTTTCATTTCATTATTACAATTAGATCATCCAATCCAGTTTATTTCCTGATCGGTACAAAATAACAGTGCATGCTCCAAATGTGAACTTAGTGCTGCTTGCATCCTCAAAATTAAAACCATATCCTGACTCCCATATTCTCATTATGTAGACACAGCTTGGAAACTCTCACAGATGAGGTGTTGCACCCAGCTTTGGACTCTGAACTCTAAACTGTCAAATAGAAGGAGATAAAATAAAAAATTGAAAGGTTGATTGTTGGAATATTTTTTTAAAATACTTTTTATATCCTCAGGGCTGTAGGTCATAAGCTATATGGCTATCAGTACCGGGAAAACATTGTGGAAAAGCTGAGGAAAACCGCGGAACATTGTGACTGTCTGCAGTGTTTCTTTATAATTCATTCCATGGGAGGTGGTAAGGAATGTCTTTATAGTGAGTATGGTTGCAGTAGCCACAGATGAAAAAGAAAAATATGTATCTTGAAAAGAAAATAAATATAATAATTCACATTGTTCAGAATGCGTAATAAAAAAAACACAGACCAATTAAGTGGACCTGTAATGATTTATTACTTATTTTGTTAGACCACTAAGGAGCCCTAATGTGTTACCCAGAGCAAAAATGCTGCTAAAATTTTAAATATGACGCAGTGGATGGATCAAGACAGGTACCAAAGACAAATAAACTCCTTGGAATTACTGATCAGAAGAAGGGTCAGTGGCCTCTGAACACTGATGTCGTTGTAATCAAGTTGATTTTAATCATGGGGAAAGCGTTTTCTGAAAGGCTTGAAGGAGACTTAAAATGTTGCTTTAGAAAAATTTTGTTTTTCTGTTTTCCTTCCACATAATTCTCTTGAATCCAATCTAGTTACTTTGTTAGTAAGTCAAAAGGGAGAATCCTTTGCCACTAAGCCTTCCTACCCCAGAAACCTGGGAGCAGCATGTATTATAACTGGCTATGATGTGGAAAAAGACACAGAAAATAGCTCTAAATATGAAGCAAGAGCTCTGTCAAGGGCCTTTTTTGTGGCCGTTTGCTTAATTTCAGAGACCCTGCAGATATTGTTTCTATTATTACAGAAAGTTGCTGTCTTGTTCATAAGAATAAATTGTCTACCACTGAGAATGTAGCTGCAAATTCAGAAAAAGATCACAGTTCAGTTCTCAAATTTGAGCTCAGTGCTGTGTTCTTAGTGATAATGAGGAAAAAAGCTTGTGTGCTGGTAGAAAGGGATGGTTCTGTTTTGACTGGAGAATGAGAAAACTTTATAAAGAAACCCTAAAAGGAAAGAAAGTAATTGTTTGGGGCAGTTCAATGCTTTTAAGCAAATGTTTTGTTTCAAAATCCAAATAAAAATTTTAAAATAAGAAATAGAAGTACCAGCTTGGAAAATGTTGGTTACATAATAGGACTTTTTGGATTGCAGAAATTTTTGAGATTGTATACTTCATCCTGAGTGTTATACTGTGGAAAATACTTTTTTTACTTAATTATTTTCCTGTCTAGGAAAAACCTTCTTGCCTTAAGTTACGTTTGAGTAGCCTCCACTGTCAGCCAAATATTTCAGAAAATATTCATTAACATATATAATTGGAAAGTTGTATGTCTCCAATATATGAGTCTTAGGGCCTAAGATAACATGGGGAACCTTTTATCTTCTCTCATTCTGTTTTCGTTCATAATTAGGGACAGGATCTGGTCTTGGAACTTTTGTACTAAATTTGCTTGAGGACGAATTCCCAGAAGTGTATAGATTTGTTACTTCAGTTTATCCCTCTGGTGAAGATGATGTTGTTACTTCTCCATATAACAGTGTTTTGGCTATGAAGGAGCTTAATGAACATGCAGACTGTGTGTTACCAGTAGAGAATGAAGTAAGAATATTATATTTCTGTCTTTTTTTTTTTAATTAGACTGCGCAAAGGAAATCTTTCTCCCTTTTCTGTTTTGATTTGAATACCAAGTCTTTAAAGAATAATGTAATTTTTAAAGTAATAATTAAAGTTCTAAGTCACTTGCAGGCTTTTGAAATGAACATGAGTATCACTAAAATGTTGCTCTGCATCTTCCAAGTAGTCTAGAGTGAATTTTTTTGTCTTTTTCAAGGTAAACATTGAAAAGCTTCTATTTACTGAGACAGTGTCTTCTTTTAGCAATCATTTTGTGCGTAGTATTGATAGTGTTGCAAGAGAAATGACAAACCACTCCAAATTCCAACAGACTTAACTGTGCTGATTAGTGATAGGAGAACCATAGGCATACCTGACCTTGCAAAGCACTAGACTCATTTGAATCTAACTTTGGTGACTGTCTTGGTGTTTGTTTACGAAAAAAGCAAGAGAAAGTGATATATAGTTAGAGAATATATTTTTCCTTTCACAGGTATTATGGAAATTTAATATTCATTTTTAGAGGATAAGGATTTTAAACAGTTGAATAAAATTCAAATTTCTGAGTCAAGCTTTATACATACTTGTGACATGTAAGGAACAGGCTTTTAGAAACACTTCAGTCAACTGGAATTGCTCAAAAGTTGGACTTAGATGTATCAAAGGTATAATCTTTGAGCTAACAGTACCATGTGTTGGCTTTTAGGATTAATAGAAGTGAAAAATTGGGGTACTGAATTTGCAAGTTCTTTGCTCAAGACTACTTTCCTTTTTTTTTTTTCTCTCTCAAAGTCTCTGTTTGATATAGTTAATAAAATTAATCAGATGATCAATTCTGGGAAGCTGGGGTCAACCTTGAAGCAAAACAGCTTGGTAACATCAAGTGCAGGCAGTGTAAAAACTCTCCAAGAGAAGCCATTTGATGCAATGAATAATATCGTAGCCAACTTGCTGCTGAACCTGACAAGGTAAAGTTACAGGTTATTCCTCTGTAAAAAAGTAGTATTGCTGGAGGTGGTGTTTGCTGCAAATATGCAGATCTGGATCAGCTCGAATAATATAAATTGATTTTCATTTGATATGAGTCTTCTCTTTTTAAGAATTGGTTACTAGATGCTGAGGTACTTGGAAGTATTCAGATTGTAGTGGTGTTGCTTTAGCCATGACAGTCTTAAAACTGAAGTAAATTTGTAGGCAGAAGGATATTGTTTTCCATTAGTGCTTAGTGGAGCCCAGAAAGGTTTGTCTTTCTAGCCCAGTTGTATTACATTATTTATAATGTCAGATCATTTTTGCTCCTAAGTGGTCTATTACTGCAAGAAATATACTTCTGGGGTATTGGCCTGTTTTTCTTTTAAACAGCTTGTCAGGAATGCTAAGTCACACATGTTTTATTATAGCTTGTTTAGTAAAACTGGTATTAATTAACTGGTATTAATCAACTATGTCCACATACTGAAAAACAGTGCTAAAGACTGCAATTGAGAAACAAGGTCTTATTCTTGATGATTTATTGTTCTTTAATGAGAAGTATAAGTAAATAAGATTTAGCACTGATTCTGCCAGATTTGAAAGTTTTGTAATTATACGTGAAGGGTTTCTTGAATGCTGTGTTTTACTGTTTTGTTGTACAGAACAGTTGAAAAATAGATTTAATGGAGGTTTACGTTATAGAATTGATTTCCTTGGTTTATAATAGTTTTATAATGGTTTGTTAATTTTCAGCTCTGCTAGATTTGAAGGTTCCCTAAACATGGATCTTAATGAAATCAGTATGAATTTGGTTCCATTTCCTCGACTTCATTATTTGGTTTCAAGCTTGACTCCTCTGTATACGTTGGCAGATGTTAATGTACCTTCTAGAAGGTAGGAAAAAATATTATGGGAGTTTCACATTTAAAGCTTAATTTCTGAGTCTTCCATAGTTCTCATTAAAAAATTTCATTTTGTAGCAAAACTAAGGGTGGAAGTTGTAAAACTGTTAAGTCTGCCACATTTTCAAATTCATCCTGTTGATTTTTGGAACATCTGTTGTCTCTTTTCTCTGTAATGGTCGAGCCAGTAAACTTGACATCTTTTTAATCTCTGCTGGGAAATCCTTTTTGGAAAAATTTATTACTTAGAACCCACACCACAAGTTCTTTTGAGTAACAGTTTGCACTTGACTGACAAAATACTGTAAAGACAAACAAGGAATTAAACTAGACTCTTTGGGAAGTAATGGCATCTTAATTGAGTCTGGAGGTACAGTGTGCCTGTTTATCAACTTATTGTAATGGTAAGCTGACACTTGTAAAGTTCTTTGAGCTATTTATCCCTCTGACATAGCAGAAAAATAACTGGTTAAAATAGATTTTACTGGGTTTAGTGAATTAGGTTCAGTCAGCAAGAGGTCCAAATGATGATAGAAGCAACTAAATGATGATAGAAGGAACTAAAGGTAAGCGATGAAAGTATGCAAAGCAGAGGAGAGGGCAGGACCACCCCTATTCTGTGATAGCAAGTTGTGACAATCAGTTGTATCTGTTGAAAACATTCCTTGAGGAGACAGTACAGTGCTGGGGGAAGGAAGCATACTATCGGGAGATGCTCAGTCAAGGATGTCTCAGAATGAAGTGGGAACAGTAATATTTTTGTTCCTTTATTTAGTTATTTTTTTTGTAATAGGCAGATTGTGGCAGAGGTGATATAAGAAAAAAGAAATAGAGGTGATGAATGCAGAGAGTTTGAGACAAATGGAAAGAATAGCTTAGATGTTGTGGGTCCACAGGAACGTCAAGACACTATCTTTGATATCCCACAGTACAGTGAAACTTGCTTAAGGAAGTGAAGAGAGAAAAAATATGATCAGCAGTCATGCGTGATAAAATTAGAATAAGTAGACAAGTATGTATACTGTCTTTTCCTAAATCATTAATCGAAATCAATACCATTCTATGATTCATTGATCCTTTTAAATAATGAATTATAATAGGCAGATAACCAGTTCTGTAAGGGTCAGCAGCACTTTGATATTCCTTGTCAGATCCTTCACTGTGAGGTTGTCCATTCAAATTGTCTTAAGACCTTATAACTATTGACCTCAAATTGCCTTTATAAAGGCAACTTCTCTGACTCAACAGTGGCTTGTAACATGAGGGAGAAGAGTAAAAAATGGATCCAGTGTATTTTTAAAAACTTGCAATGCCAAAATATGTATATGTAAAAGTTTGAATCTTTTTCCTGTGATTTATGGTCCCAGGTTAGATGTACCTTTATCTACAGAATTTTATGAACTTTCAAACCCTCCAGGTGGGTGTTCTGAAAAGCTTTCATATCCTACTTTAGCAAGAGTAGATAACTGTTTTCTTTTCACCTAGGTTGGATCAGATGTTTTCAGATGCATTTAGTAGAGATCATCAACTAATTCAAGCAGATCCAAAGCACAGCCTCTACCTTGCCTGTGCACTTCTTGTTCGAGGAAATGTGCAGGTTTCAGACCTTTGCCGAAATATTGAAAGGTTTGTAATACCACACAAAGTAGTCATGGGAAACTGTTGTCAGTCATCCAGAGCACTCCAACTTTTCTTTTTAAGAGTTTCCATACAAAATCAGTTTACTCAGAAATATTTTTCTGAATTTTAGAAGGGAAGAAAATGTAATTAACTTATGCAATGAGTGAGAATAAGTCACAGCATTCCTGGATTTCCAAATAAAGGGAGCTGACTAGATATCCCTGTACTGCTCCTCCCTTTCTCAAAAATGCAAAAGAAAGCAAAGCCCAACCTTCCACGGGTCTCCTGACAGTAAAGAATGTTGGAGGAGTAAGTTCTGTAGTAGAAGTTTGTTTTTACTGAACGGAAGATATCTCTCTTTCATGGTTACTTTCATATAGATAGGAAATCATCCTTATTTTAACAACTCTGTATTGTTAGCACCCTCTTTCTACCTTTTACACTATTGACCTACGTAGATATAACAGGAAAGGCAGGCAAGCTTCACATACAGAAGGGAATTTATAGGCAGACAGGGAAGCATGGGGAAAATTTCTGAGAATCTAAAGCATTTAACTTATTTCAAAACTACAGGTGAATTGATTGTCCCCACAGAGTATTAAGCTGCCCCTTTCCTAAATTTCAGAGGGCTTGCAGTCTCTTTTATAGAAATAGGTACTTGTAACTTCACTTTTCAAATCCTGATATATTAAATTAACAAAACAGAATTGGTGTTTGCAATTTGACTTTCAAACAGACTCAGTGTTTTAGTCTGAAGTCTAAAATGTCTTACTCACAATGATAGTTATAACTGTCCTGCTTTGTTCTGGAAGCTTAAATGTTAACCTTTTCAGATTGTTCATTAAGACAGAAAACTTAGCCTTCATGTTCTTTACATTCCTTAGGTAACTAAATTTTTGTGTCACAGGTTAAAACCTTCTCTGCACTTTGTTTCCTGGAATCAAGAGGGCTGGAAAACTGGTTTGTGTTCAGTACCTCCTGTGGGCCATTCCCATTCACTTCTGGCTTTAGCAAACAACACCTGCGTAAAACCAACTTTCATTGAACTCAAGGAGAGATTTATGAAGCTCTACAAGAAAAAGGTGCAACTCTTATTGTAATATCCGTAGTCACTAATCATTAGCATCTTGTGTTATTGAGAATCAAATCTTAGTATGGCAAAGGACTGCTTAAAATTAACAGCCCAAGATTTTTATTTATGTTACCTGAAAAGGAGCCATTCCAACAGCTGCTTCTTAAAAAGCGTAAATCCCTTATTAATCTGTACCTACCTGACAATGTCACAGAATCATAGAATGGTTTGGGTTAGAAGGGACCTAAAAGGTCATCTCATTCCAGCCCCCCTGCAATGGGCAGGGATACCCTCCACTAGACCAAGTGTCTCAAAGCCCCATCTAGCCTGGCCAGGAACACTTCCAGGGATGGGGCATCCACAGCTTTACTGTGCAGCCTGTTCCAGTGCCTCACCACCCTCTAAATAATTTCTTCCTCATATCTAATCTAAATCTTGATTCCCACCAAGCTTTTCTCTCACTTCCCTTCCTCAGCAGGACAGGAGGAATATGCAATGAAAAACTTGTAGGTCAAGATAAGGACAGGGAGATCACTCACCAGTTACTGTCGTGCAAAACAGACAGGGAATATTATTTTAATTTACTGCCAGTGAATAACAGAGTAGGACAGCAGGAAATAAAACCAAAACTGAAAACACCTTCATCCCCACTCCTCTCCCTTCTTCCCAGTCTCGGAATTTCACTCCCATTCCTTCTTTCCTGATCTTGGTGTCTGCAGGGCTGTTTCTCTCACAACATCCTAAATCCAATCTCAGCTGTTGTGCATCCTTTTTACCCCTTCTTAAATATGTTGTCACAGAGGCATTGCCAGCATCACTAATGGGCTCAGCTTTAGCCAGTGGCAGGTCCATTCTGAGCCAGCTGGAACTGGCTCTGTCCCACATGCCGGCCGCTCCTGTTATCTTCTCACAAAAGCCACCCCTGCAGCCCTGCACTCCCCCTGCTGCCAAAACCTTGCCGCATAAACCCAATAACACGGTTTGTCCCCTAGGGTACACCTGACCAGTATGAAAAGATAGATGTTTAAGGAATCAGGAATATCAATTGTGATTCCATAGAGGATTGTTACTAAAGTTGTGAAGTGTTTAAACAAGGGGTGTCATGACATAAGTCTTTAAGTCTCCTTTCTACAGTGCTTGCACTTCCCCCTTCAATGCAGGCTAAATGGTACTTACTGAGCCAAAGCAATTAGGGGCCAAGAAAAATGATAACACTGAATTATTTTTTTTTTATTCTTGTAGGCTCACCTTCACCATTATCTGCAAATAGATGGGATGGAGCAAAGCTGTTTTTCTGAAGCTATGTCCTCATTGTCTGATCTAATAGAAGAGTACAATGAACTGGATGTGACAAAAGGTGGGCCTAGAACAGACCCATCAAGACTGAAGATAGCTGTTTAAAGAAGGAAAAACTGCTCTTTATTTTTTTGTTTAAAAAGAATGAAACACTTCCGTAAGCATCCAGCCACTTCAGTTAACCAGAATGACTTGCAGCATGCCTGACTGTTGTAATTTCAAAGTGGGACCAGGATAATGGCTTTCTCAGCTCAAGAGTTGTCATATTAAGTGATAAGCCCTGCCTGTAAGAAAGATTTGACAGCACCTAATTATAGCTGATATCAGTAAGAGCAGTAATCCTAACTGTGGAGTAAATTGACACACCATATGCTGTGAAGAGAAGGAAAAGAGGTTTTAGCAGCCAAAAATGTAATTCTTTTCTCAGACTTTACAGTAAACTAAAGGTAGGCCTTGCTTCAAAGAAAGATCACCATTGCTAGATTTGGTTTTTAATAAGCAGCTATGAAGAGAAGAAAAGCTTATGTAGTCTTTTCAAAGATGAAAGCAAGTCTCTAATGAAACTGCTTTCTTAAGCTTTACGGTGGACATTTCAGAATGCTCTAAGCTATGTTCATCATTTTAATATTTTTGCTTCTATGCTGTACTTAGCTATATTAGAGCATTCTGAGTTGATACCAAAATTAGCAATATCAGAAAATTCCACAAGATAAATTTGTTTCAAGTATTATACTTGGAGTATTAATTAACATATTATTTTAATGATTCATATTTATGAATGCTGAGTTGCACTTGATAATGAGATAATACACTATACCTCTGACCAAAACATGCACTTATAATGAAGTTATATATATATATATATATATATGTAAAGAATTATAACGACTGTTTGGAGAACAGAGTTTATAGACTTGAAAGAAGGCAAGTAAAATAGATGTTTTAATATTTATAATTATCAGGGTAAGCAGCTTTTTATATTACAGTAAGAACTTTTACAAAATAGAATATACAGCTATTTCCAGTTGCTTACCAACCTTGGCTGTCTTAAAACAGCAAGACTGGTGAACTGCTACAGATCAGAATGGATCAATACAATGATTTCTTGAAGCTTGAAGTCCTTCTAGCAGAGTTGGAGTGGGGGTATAAGTAAGCACAATTTTCAATGTATACGTCCAGAAGCATTCAATAAAACATTGTGCTAGCATTTGTTGAGAGCATTTTTTAAGAAAATGTTCTAAAAATAGTTTCCTTGAAATGTTGCATCTATTATCTGCAGTTGCCTGCCCACTTTTTTAGTCCTTTACACATGCATTGTTTATATTCACAACGCTAGAGAAACACTATCTGCTGCAAAAAGCAATCTGAGTTTAGAGTTGAATTCTTCATTTCAAACAGCACTGATGTGTTTTACTGTTGCAGATACATAGTCGAAAAGGTTAATTTAAGAATCAGGAATGATAGATGAAGTATTACAGGGTAATATTTTTTCTAATGGGTTAGAATGTTTTTTTTGTGGGCAGCACCTTGTTACAGTGAGGCATGAAGCTGTCTTGCTGTGCCTTTCTAATTACCAGAAGTTCTTGTTTGGACAGTACTAGTGTTACATGCATCCTTCCTAAGAGTGTATTTCCCCGTATAAAAACAGTTACATTAAAAAGATGCACTCTTGCTTGTGTTTTCCAGTGACATTTAAAAAATGAGTGAGTATTCACTTATATTATTTCACTGTTTATACTGCCATACATAATATAAACACTGCTGTGGCAGAGGGTTATGCTAACGCTTCTGGGTGTGAATGTGCTTTTGCATTGTCAGTGTGTTACAGTCAGTGGTGTAACTTCTCATAGGACTTTGAGTTCCGAAAACATATCTCCTGGAGCTCTGCAAATCCTCTGACATACGCACGATGTTATCCACATCATCTTCCACTTGAAGAAGCCTTCATTGGGACACTCAAACTGTACAGTGATCATTTTGGACTTATTAGGTATGCAGCACCTCTTGTCCAAGCACACCCCACAGAAAGTTAGTCTGTAGCTTTGAGTAGTTGAGCATCCAGAAAAAACTAGCTTCTCTGCTCTTGGAAGCTGGAATGTCGGTTGACATGTTTTTCCTTTTGAAATCTTTAATATTAGAACAAAGAAAAGCCTGAGTTTTCTACACATTAAAAACAGACCATATAAGAAATAGTTGCAACATTTACTTAGAAACATCTTAAAAGCTAGTCTTAAACTAACTTGGTCTGAAACTGCCTTATTTTTTCCTTTATCAGTCAACAAATAGAAAATACTTTTGGAGTGACTGTGCATCAGGACAGCACTAGCAGCACATCTATAGCAGGACATTACATTCTTTTGCTTGAAATTACACACCTGTAGTTTACTATTGAAGCCTGAAGATTGAATGTAGAAAACATAAGAGTTATTTTAAAACCCTTAAAAAAGAAAGAAGTAAATGTTTTATTAGTAGTTGCTAATACATCCATTTTTCCACTAGCTCCAGTATTTTCATTTTCTATTAAGAAATAATTTTATATTAGAAAATACCTTTATTTTCTTCAGCATATTAGTCAGACAAGGCTGGATGAAGCATAATCTCTTTTCTTTTTTCATCTCACATCTTCTGTTGTCGTTGGTCACTCTGCTGGATATGCCTATGCCACAGGTCCTGGAGCAGGGTGTCCAGGGAGTTGCCTGTACAAGGCACTTTTTCTTCAAGACTAGCGGTAAGCTTCTGTAAGCTAAGACAGCAATATATTATTTGTGCAGCAGAACAGACCCAAAAGGATGAATTGAAAATACAAGGATAAGACTTTGATTTCTGTTCCTGAAGGTACTTCTGGAGATAAACGTAGAAATGAGACATAAATAACATTATTCAAAAGCCAGCTGAGCTGCTGTTAAACTTTACCGACACTGGATACTCAGATCCTAGTAAGGACTATTATATTTCATATGTTATGTGACTCTCCAGTTCCGTGTAATGGAAATGTTATGTGGAGAGGGTTATCTGTGGAATTTTTATGGAATGTCCAGATTTTTTTTATTTTATTTCAGGCCAAACATGAAATTCAGCTTGTAAAGGGCTGCTGAAAACATTAATGTTCGTTTCTTTGTAGATACTGTGAAGACTTTAGAGTTCGTGTTGAGGAATAAAATACTCTAATCACTTCTAGATATCACCAAAAAGCCTGTTTTTCTGATGGATGAGGCCTGGATTAGGTGGAGTACACTTAAAAAAAGAAATAGAATTGCAGTGGAAAAGTTCATGGTGAAACTCTGCAAAAAAACTGTGTGGAATCTGGACATTTATGTAAGAGCAGAGGCAGAATTACCTGAAATTTCCAGAATTGCTGTCCGCGTTCCAGAATACCTGGAAAGTAGACAGCAATTTAAAGATCTCATTGAAGCAAGCAATTTAAAAGCCTTTCACAGAACTGCAACAAATAAAGGGAAGCTAAATGGTTGTTTATACTTGGTATATTTTTTAAAGTATGACCTAGTTACATCCTTATGTGTCTGAATTAGGTAAATCCAATTGAAACAGAAAGCTAGAAAACAAAACAAGAGCAGTAAAATGAAACTTAGCACTTATCCACACTAACGGAAAAAGGACTTTTCAAAACAGATATTGAGCCATCCATGGAGTTCATGCACAAGTTGACATGATACTTCTGCTGGTCTGGGAAATGGAAAGGGAAAGACTTTGAAACAATTTCAAGGTGTATTTCTTCAGAAGGTTCCTAAAGAACAGCATCCTTCAGCATGTACAGCCACCACAGGGACAGGGTGTTAGGTCCCTGAACTGAGCCAACAGGAAGCATTTGCAAGCTGGGTGTCTTTTCTCAAGGTTATTCTGCACAGTTGATTCAAATTCTGGAATGAATGTTGGCTTAATACTGTTCTCCAGGTATCCGAAATATATCTCCCCACAAACCCAGTTACTGTATGTCAAATGGTCAAATGGTTTGGTTGCCATTGTTTTCAATGTGTTCTCTCTTGAATCAGATTAACACTGTTTTCTAGAAAACAAATCACTCTTTGCTTGACATCAGTTGCCTTACGAAATGCATGTTTATACAACAACATTAAGGATATTTCTCTTAAAAGGCTTTGATATTAGATATAGGTATTGTATCATAATTTTGAAGTAGAAATTCTTTTTTATTTTTGCTAACTTGTATAACCATTGCTAATCTGTGAGAAGCTGTCCAAACTGAACTTCAGATTTTGTAAGCGGGTCTATTTATCTGCAGATTGACTTCTGTGCATCTGTCTGTTTACTCAGCAGCCTTTGAAGGTTTTCTGATAAGCTTTGCAATCCTTTTAGTTTTATTTTATTGACCCATGATGATGATTCAAGCTGCCACCAAATAAATGGCTCAGCTGTCTGGTACCCGTATTGGTTGTAATGAAGATGACTTTCACCATGGAAAGTTGCACATGCACAGGGGAGGAGATGGCACGAGCTTAGGCAGCTGTGGCCAGGGAAGGGCCAGGATAGCTGCTTCTGTCATGGTGCTTCGCTAAAGTGAAAAATAAAACTACAGGGTTAGCAGCAGAGCAAGAATGAGGTTAAAGGGAATATCAACTAACCCTGGCAGAACTGCATGGACAAGCTTGTGGATGTTTTTGATCAGACTGAATAGAGAAGAAAGTAAGGGGGAGTGCTGTCCTTACAGTGACCTCAAATTTGTCAGGAAAGCCACTAAGGCAATTTTTATCATTTTCTGCTTTCTATTGGAAGAAGAGGCCTGCAGCATGTTAATTTATGTATGTGAAAACCAAGACTCTGTACCACCAGAAAGCAGGAGAAAATGAGACAGCTCCCAAGCTGCGAAATGGCTGTCCACCAGCATCTCTAATTGGGCTGATCTGATGAGTAATAAACCTCTGCAGAATGATGCTTTGCCCAATCCCCTGGTGACAGAAGCCAAAAGCCTTTTTGCTTTTCACATTCATTAGGTTTAGAGAAAAGAGTCTGTGACCTGAGAGTAAGAGGGATAAGTGGGACAGAACAGTCACCCTGGCAATGGCCTTCAGTAAGAACTGAGAAAGTGCCAGTGTGTTGCCTGTCTGGCTGCTGGAGTCAGGGACACTAAATGCAGAAAGGCTCGTGTACAGAAAAGTTTACCGGTGTGGCCAGGCTCACCTGACATTAGTCTGTAGTTGGTTGATTGAAGCTGCTTGTGCTGTCCCAGGCCACAAATAGATTGTCCAGGCTTCTTTCTGCCCATGACCCTGGTGCAGGGACTCACTGCTAGTCTTGGTGTGAATACAGGTGTACATCCAATTGCACCACTGACACACAGGCACTTATAAAGTGGGTTAGGCTGGAAGGTCTGCCCGTTGGGATAATAAACTCCATTGAGCTCACATCCTACAGCTACCAAATCTGAAAATGGTGAACAACAGTTACTAACACAGGAGGAGCACATGGATCTTGCTTAATAGAGTGCTAAAATGTGGTCAGCCATAAATGTGGTCAGCTCTTTAAATCAGTCATCAACATGTCTGCCAATAACAGGCTTGTGCACAATGAACTGGTTTCACTAATGCATATGCAGGTAAGTTTGAAGCCAGTCCCAGCACTACTCTCAGATTCTCTGATTGAGCAATCAGAGAACTAAATTGGGATAAATTGCTTAGCACAGAGCTGTACAGCACCTGCAAGCAGAATTTTCCTCCAAAACTGTTTACCTGTATGGTCCCACCCTCCTGCATTTCAAGAAGGAAACGTGAAAGAAAACTTACATGCACACACGCCTTTTTCATACCTAGGCTCGTCTTCCGAGTAGTCACAGTAGAGACCTTTATGGGGATCACAGATGTCTGCTTCATTGCAGGGCTCTCCCGACTGCTTGGCACAGACTTTACAGCAGCCACAGCCATCCTTCACCAGGCTTACCCCAGGGGTGCAGGCTGGCACAGGCGGACATCTGCATGGCCAGTGACAAACCTCCTTGCGCTGGTGGACTTCACCAGTTTCTGAAGGTTTATCTCCAGGCTGCACTGGCGGGCTGTGGAAAAACTTACACACAGTGGGATATTTTGAGCGCTGAATGCATTATGTGTACGTGGAATAGCATAAAATGAAGCTGAGGTGGAAAACACTGTCACATTGGATGAAGACACATAACATTTCTCATCTCATGGGATTGAAAAGTGAAAGGCTGTGAGTTTGGGTAAGAGGCAGAGGACCATCTTCATCCACTGTCATGGATTGAGGTGTACTAACAGTGAGCCTGGCCTACTGCTTGCACAAAACACAATTCATTGGTCTCTCCTTTGCCTTCCATAGAACAAAACCTATAGTAGAACTGAAGTAGAAAAAACAGTGTTTTAAAGTAGGTGGTTTTATTTTAAGTATTCCTTCCTACAAACTTTTTATCAAATTAATTAACTTTTGATTCCTCACATAGTTTTATAACCAGCCACAGTCCTGTGTGCCAGTTCTGATGGCAAAAGCCTTTTAAAATAATGAACCTCTTTTGAATGTTATTTTTGGTCTAAAATTTGAATAGTTGTTTGGGAGTACGCATTATAATATTTACAAATTCACTTGTGCTACACACAAAAATTTAATCCTAATAAAGGAGGCTAGTAGTTGTACTGAGCTTAATAGGTTGCTTACTAAGAGTGTATTTATTTGCATGACTAAGTCCTCATTGAATCCAGGGCTTATGGAGCAAAGACATATCTCATTAAAGAGATTTGTATCAGCAGTAAGAAGTCGAGATCTAGCCAGAATTTACTGTTTTGCACATTCTGTCTCAGAATTCATGGGGGGTTTTGTTGTTTGGGGTTTTTTTAAGTAGAGGAAGACCTAAGTAGTTCTTGATTGGTTTATTTTTCTGAGGCATGGGGGAGATTTAAGTCAGCACAGAGTGTGAAAGGATCTATTTGAGACAACTATATTCTGTCTGCATTTTTTAAGAACTACATCTAAAACATAACACTTTAGATCTTAGCATTAGATCTTTTCATGCTGCTGATTTCAGCAGAAATGCAGATCATGCTATATTTATTCTCCACAGATGACTGGTTCCATAATTAAGTGGAGGCACACACAGCACTTGGCCACTATACAACGTAAGGCCTGGGAGCCCCTCTCATCAAGCAGCTCTGACTGCCCAAAGAGCAAAAGGGCAAGACAAGATCCAGCCCCTCATCAGGTACCAGTATCACCATCAAGCTTGCAGAAAAAAAATAAAATATGTAGCCTATATTTTTTTTCTGGGCATGTGAAGCCCAACCTATCAGTTTTTCTCTGTTCCTCCAAACCGCAGGGCTCTACTGATATAGAAATCACCTCCAGCAGAGATACTGAGGGAAAGCTCAGGAAGGGGTCATTCAGCTGGGTTTCCTTTCTGCTCAACTTTCAAACTGCAAATCTCTGCAGAATTCAGCATTTCATATGTCATAGCCCATGGAAGCTCTCACACTATAATTTACTGCATGCAGCAGTAAATGACCTTTTAAAAGCCTTTTTTCTAGCACTAATTTCCATTTTTCGTGGTCATTTACAACTATACTTAAGATATCTTAATCCACAGCTACTAATGAAGCTCCAAAGTAGTAGCTTTCAAGTTCCTTTGGCTGAATGATTTTTAAGATAGATATTAATTTACACAGGCAATTCTTATAGGAAATGAAAATTGAAGAATGTCGTGTGGCATTCCATGCAGCATGAAGAAGATAGTTTAATAAATGTGTAATTTTGCAAAAGGATTTCTTCTAATCCTTTCTACCTAAATGCAGCAATGATATAGAAGCAACTAACTTAAGTGTACTTTTTTTTAGGCAGCTAAGCATTTCCTATAAACCATAATGTTAATTTGATGAACATGTGCATTGAAATGTAAAGCTTCTTGAAGGATCATTATGGAAACAAGACACACAGGTGTACCTATACATTTAGCAGTATTCAAGACTGTATGGTCAGTTTAGGAAACACTTCCTTGCTGGTTTTTTTCTTTTTAAGCAGAGTATTATTATTATTATTATTATAATCTGGCCATGTGCCAGCTATATGAGGTTATGTGGCTTGAGTCAGACACCACATTTCAAAATGGGTATGTGTAGCAGGAAGTAATCTTACGTGCTTCAGCCAATATGTTTAATTTGTATTACAAATTAAAGAATGCTTTAAACCTACAGAATTCTACCTAAGTGATTTTTCTCTCTTCTTTTAGGAGAAGATGTCAACTGAAAGGTGTGAGACTACAAAGTTCCCCAGTAAGAAAAAACACCATCAGGCAAATATCTGACAGTTTTAGCAGTGGAATTACCGAAAACTTTGGTTTAGCTGAAAAATCTTGAATATTAAGTTACAATGAAAATGTAAAGTTTGCTTGTCAAGTTTACAGGTCAAATATTTTTCCAATTTGTGCTTCCCCGAGTTTCTATACCAAAGCTATTCACATCACAGAAGCCCCTTGCATACTTTTCCTGATCTTATGGGCAGATCAGAAAATGAGACCATTGTGTAGGTACCCTTCATGTGTTGTTTGTTTTCTTATGTGTTAAAGATTGAACAAGGTCAGTATGGCATAAATAAGCAAAGAGCAGAAGTAGGCAATGTATTATCGCTAATGTTCAGTTTTCTTAGTCTGGCTCTAAATATGCAGAAAGTTAGCGGAGGGAGACAATCATTTGAAAATTCTCCATTTGACACTCATCTTGATCATAAAGGACAAATTTTCAAAATTGAGTAAATAAATAATGAAACTGGCCTTTGACGCAAATACCTTTACAAAAAGCTATCACTTAAAATTTTCTTATAAGAGACAAAGCATAACACAGCCCAGGTGCCTTTCTCTTTGTAAAACTAGCCTGAAGTCAGACCGCTGTGTGTATGTATACATATTTGCACACACATATATACATAGATATATGAAATATGAGCATAAGGAATACTTCCTTATGCATCAGATAATCATTTGTGCTTAAATTTAAAAAAAAAAAAAAAAGGCAAGGTCACTGGCAATTTAAGCTTCCCTAACACTTTTTTTCCCACTAAATCATATTAATGTACAGAGAGAAAAAAACCACCAAAATCAGGACTGATGCAGTAAATAAGCTGCAAATGAAATTTACTCAGGAATAGGGAATGGCTGCTTATTCTTTATGAGGAATTTGCTTCTCTGAAATTTAATTTGTTGTTAAGCAAATAAAAACTTTTAACCAGAACAAGGTGAAGAAGGGAGAAATCTTTTTCTTCTTTTTAATGAACTTACCTGTTGCGTACAAGGGATGATGAAGATGGTGGGAACAAGGAGCCACCGCATGTTCCTGCACATTCAGAAGTGAAACTGAGAGATAGGGAACAGGCTGAGCTGTGTCAGAGGAAGCACTGAACACAAAGCTCTCCTCTGTCTCCCTTGCCAACCCTACTTTCCCCAGCACATGCACGAACACATACACGCATTCACACTTGAAATTCTCCACTTCATACAGAACCAGCTTCATACTGAAATTTCCAACTGGTCTTTTCTCTGCCCAGAGCTAGAATACAGATTTTCACACCCTGCTTGATCCCATCCAGCTGATTCAGCCAGACTTAATTGAGGTCAGGTGGGGTGACATCTGATTCTTGAAATCTTGCTACTGGAAATGTAGTGTTATTATTGTCTTTAAATCCATATTACAAGAATTTCTGAAATCTGAAAGGCAGAGCTCCAAATACATGCATTTTTTGAGAAAGAGAAAGAAGAGTTTCTTGAAATTTCTGATCAATTGTGCCTAACAAATCATAGCATAAAAATTAACAGTCAGTACATGCTTTCTAAATACGGAAAGATAAACTATAGTGTGTTATAATGCTACTGCATGTTCTGCACTGCTTATTTCTATGGAATCCTACTGGGCAAGCCCAAACTATAATGTACTTTTCCCTGAAGTATGCACCTTGTCTTACGGTTGTGCCACCACCTAAAGACAATATTGTTCAAATCTTCAAATTTCCTCCCCCCTAATACTATCAAGGTGATGTGCTTGATTTTTAGGCTAAAAGGTGAGAGTCTCCAGGATAACATAAAACCCCCAGCCCTGCAGCATCGATGTTGGTGTTGCCCTGGTGAATGCTCCTCCTCTCCTTTGCATTTGTCCTTGCTTAGGCACCTCCTGTGAAGCCCAAGCATTACTAGGGGAGGCTGCCAAAGACCACACTCACAGCAGCCATGTGTTAACAGAGGCAGTAGTAGGAGTATGGAATCAAATCCAGAACAAAAAATTCTGTTTTGCTCCCAGACTTGGAGGACCACATGCTCTCCGCATGCAGTTACAAATGCACCCTGAACTGCCCTTCCAAACTCTTGAGGAGTCAGCTGTAAGCCGCTGAAAATCTACTTTTCTTTGGCACAACCAGTTTGTCACATAATTCAAGATAAAGTCCAGGCAGTACCTAGGTGACAAGTGGATGCTGCAGATCAGTTCATTCCAGTGATGTTTCTCTGCATGTGCAGCAGTGCAGACCGGGTCTGACTCAAGTCTTCCTTGCGCTTCCCATTAAAATCTTATGAATGTAGACCCAGGTTTCTCAAACATCTCTTCTGAATACTATCAAAACAGAGGTTTTTTCATAGAATCAGAAGATAATTGAGGCTGAAAGAGACCCAGGGGATCTCTAGTCCAATCCCTGCCCAAGCAGGGTCAGCACTGAGATGAGACTAGGTTACTCAGGGCTCTGTCTGTTTGGATCTGGAAAACCTCCAAGGGTAGAGGCTGCCAAATCTTTCCTGACAGCCTTTCAGAGTAATGCCAGCTGTCTGAGGAGGTTCCAGATACAGTTTTCTCCTGCAGCCCCAAAGACAACCGTCTCACTCTCCTGTCTGGAAGAAGTGAGGAAGGTCAGAGGACTAGCACATCGATTCTCGTCCTCCTGGGACTGCAAGGGTAGCACACAGCATTCATTTGTGCTGTTCCTCTTTGCATTGCAGAAATAAAACATGTGGCCAGTGTAGAACTGGGAATGCTCTGTGTGAGCTGGCAAAGACTGGTCTGATGTGGATAATGGTCCCCAGTCTTGGGAAACAGGAGACAGATGTTTCTGTGGGACTAACCTTTGGTTTTATATGGTGTATTTTGTTGGAATTACCCAGATAACGTGATATCTTGAGCTTTAGAGAGTGAGACTTTGAAACTGAGGTTTGAGTATAATTAAGCTGATTGACAGAAAATATGGGTTTGAAAGGAGTGGGAGGAATGGTACTCCCTGAGGAAGACATTCTGGTGATAGAACACATTAAAATGTGATTTTAGGTGTCTGGATGGTTGTTCACGTGTGCAAAGTAACCAGTGTACTTCAGCCCAAAAAGGGCCTCCTGCTAGGAGCAGGACCCCTGCTGGGACCGCTCGGGTCTCCAAAGCAATGCCATGCCTTCACTGCCTTTCCCTAACAAATACTTTAAATGAGACTGTCTGGACCTTACAGTACCTGCAGTACCGACCCCTGTTGCAGGGTTCAAATTGTGAACAATTTCCATTGCATTTCTGTAGG